TATGGCTATGCGCTTCGTGACATCTCCCGTTTCGACGTCTGCTTGAGCATCGCGCAATCTTTGCATGCTTCCTGATGTGTCTACCTTGGTGCCTCCCTCTTCATCCTCTTTGTCTTGGTCCTCTTCGGCGTCGGATTCTTCCTCATCCTCAGAAGAGGAAAATCCTCCACCACGAGCGGGGTCGTATCTGGCATCGGCCTTCTGGAGTTCCCTCTCGACGGCATCGTCTTCGTCTACTTCGGCATACTCGTCATCTTCTGCCTGGTATATCCTTTGCAGAGCCTTCTTCTTGTTATCTGACTTTAGCTTCCGACCGTATTTATCAACCTTGGCGCTCGCGACAAAATCGTCATCTTTTAGCATGCGCGAGAAACGCTTGTCGATGGTGGTCTTGTTGCGATGCTTCGAGGGAAAACGGAAACGTGGATCCGATTCGAAATTGGTGAACCTCGAGTCACCCTTTGCGGTTACGGATGGACTGTCTGGCTTCTTGATCTCTTTCTTCGGCATTTTGACTTGATGCGACTAAACGAATGTGTTGTTGTCAAGACCAAGCTCAGTACAGGTTTGCGCCGGACATGTCAAAAATCAGAAATGATGGACAATTGAAAATTTTAGTGGGCCTATGTTTCTGCCGGTTCGTTTAAAGGCGGTAGAGTGTCACCGCCCTGCTTAAGTAAGTGCACAGTGTCGCGCTACAGTTGGTTTCTCCTTGAAACACCTTTCGTGCCCCACCGTTACAAGTGAAGACAACCACTAATTTAGGTGATCGTCCGTTGTATCGGTACAGTACCCCTTACAGTGCATAACTTTAACGTCGTAAGCTGGTGGGGGAGGGGCAGTAAACGTACCTCATAGGCTCAAGGGTCACCCATCAAAGTCATCGTCATATCCTATCAACATCTCAGCTTACAGGCAAACCCATCACAAGTGCGACCACTGAGTTATCGTATTTAGAGGTAACTGGTATACCCCTGACGAGCTAAATTAATCCTGATTTGTTCAACGTTGTCACTAAAGGGGCTGATGCAAGCCAAGACTTCAGCTTGAAAGCGACTTGGATAGTTGGTCCCACCAAGGACTCACCCATCTCACCCCTCCAAAAACTCCATAACAACCTGTAATTCTAATCTGAAAATGATGTGAGATGTATCTGACAATCAACTTCTTTGAATTAACATATTCGTAGTCCAGTGAACTAAAAAAGAATCCTCATTTTCTTTTCTGAACATAACTTATTACCTACCTACTGTATTTCACCATCACATCACCTTCAAGATGGACTTTTTCCGTAAGGCGGAAGAGGCCCTCCACGAGGTGAAAGAGTCCTTGAAGGGAAACGGAGCAGAGGCCCATGAAGAGCATCTTGAGGAGGAGCAGGCCCAACAGGGCGGCGTGCCTCCTCAGGCTGTCTTTTCCAGCAATAATCGATTCCAGTCCTTCCAACCTGAGACTTCCGGCTCTGTGAAATGGTATGTTGACGGAGCATCATACTTCTACGCCGTCTCTTTGGCTCTTGAAGGTATGAACTAGAAAACTTTGATTTGCTACTAGGTTCCCTTTCTAATAAAATTATAGAGGCAAAAGAGAGCGTTTATATCCTAGATTGGTGGTTGAGCCCGGAGCTCTACCTTCGCCGACCCCCTTCACGCAATGAACAGTACCGTCTCGACAATATGTTGAAGGCGGCAGCCGAGAGGGGCGTCGAAGTGCGCGTGATCGTGTACAAGGAGGTCACCCAGGCCCTGACTCGTAAGCGCTTATCTTGACTACCTATTAGTAAGATGAGATTGGCTAACCTCTTATTTATTTCAGTTGACTCTGCGGTAGGCGGCTTATTAGATGTCTAAACTATGGATTTAGCTAATCCCCTTTGCTAGCACACTAAGCACCATCTTGAGGGTCTACACGAAAACATCAAGGTCTTTAGGCATCCTGATCATCTACCTACAGACCACCAGAAGCTTGAGAACGCCTTTGCTGGCTTGTCCTTGGACACTCTTAAGTTGAACGACTTTAGCCTGTCCAAGACCTCGGGAGACGCACTGAAGGAGCTTTACGGTTCATTTGGTGATACCGTCCTATACTGGGCTCACCACGAGAAGCTATGTGTCGTTGATCGACGCATTGCCTTTATGGGGGGTCTCGATATGTGTATGTTAAAGATCTTAAGTCCCTAAACCCTTGAGCTACGACTAACGAAATGTAGGCTTTGGAAGATATGACACCAACAGTAAGCCGAACATCATAACGTTCTGGCATATACTTCAACTACTAAATAATAATAGGTCACCCCATTGCCGATGCTCACCCTGGAAATCTCGACTCGATCGTGTTCCCTGGTCAGGATTTTAACAATGCTCGAGTCTACGACTTCGAGGGCGTTGATAACTGGGACCACAACAAGCGTGAGTGATTAAATACCATTGAGTATATGAAAAGCTAACAGAGTTATAGTCGACCGAACCAAGAGCTCTCGAATGGGCTGGTCCGACATCGCCATCTCCTTGCAAGGTCCGATCGTAGGCAGCCTCATCAATCATTTTGAGGATCGATGGTACGTCCCTGCGAAACCTAAACCCCTTAAATTTTAAGAAATCATGCCTAATTCATTTCAAGGAACTTCATCTTCGGCGAGAAATACTCCAAGAGAGATGAAGGCAAATATACGCTAATGGGATCCGCCGGCGGCTCCTCCGAGCGTTCTCGCGGAGAAGAGCGCCACTTCTTCGGTGACTTCGAGGGCCATATCAACCGAGGCATGAGACGTTTCATGGGTGGGGAAGGCGATGAAGGACATCGTGGACGTAGTGATGATAATTACAGCCGTTCTGGTGATGTCAAGATCCAACTCTGCAGAAGGTGAGACTAAATCTACATCACATTAATCGCAACATATATACTAACGATTCCTAAGTTGCTGCGAATGGTCCGGTGGCCACCCCACAGAACACTCAATTGCTAATGCATACGTCAACGCCATTGAGAATGCTCAGCACTTTGTCTACATCGAGAATCAGGTAAGACCTCCACATATGAACTACTTCACGTTCAAACGTCTAACAAGTCATAGTTCTTCATCACAGCAACCTCCGACGAGCAGTACCCAGTAGAGAACAAGATCGGCGCAAGCATCGTAAACCGCATCGTCCGCGCCCACAACAACGGCGAGGAATTCCGCGTCATCGTCATTATGCCAGCCGTTCCTGCATTCGCCGGCGACCTACACTCAGAGGGTGCCCTCGGAACCCGCGCCATCATGGAGTTCCAGTACAACAGCATCAACCGCGGCGGTCACAGCATCATCGAGTCCTTGCAGCAGCAGGGTATCGAGGACTGGCGCCGCTACATTGGCTTCTACAACCTGCGCAACTACGACCGCATCAACACCTCTACAACTATGAAGCGGGCGGAGGAGCAGAGCGGTGTGTCGTACGAGGACGCCCGCCGCGAGCACGACGAGAGAGTCGGCGGCTACCCCTATGAAAGAGGCAATGAGGGTGGTGAGTACGGCGGAGACAGGAATGACGAGGGCGGGTACAGCCGGGAAAGATACGGCGTAGAACCCTACGGTGACGAAGAAAGAGGCGACCGGGAAGGGTACCCCGAGAAGAGACGGGGCGAAGCGCGCTACCAGGCCGCCGCCTCCAACCAAGACGACAGCACCTGGGACACCGTCTCTTCGTGCTACATGGAAGGCGGCCCGGACATCCGCAACGTGCCGTGGAGCGGCAGCGAAGAGGCCGAGCTCAACGCCTTCGTGTCGGAAGAGCTCTACATCCACAGCAAGGTGCTCATCGCAGATGACAAGCTCGTGATCTGCGGGTCCGCAAACCTGAACGACCGCAGCCAGCTGGGCACGCACGACAGCGAGATCGCGGTCGTGATCGAGGACCCCGAGCCCGTCGAGACCTACATGAACGGGCAGCCGTACACGGCGTCCAAGTTCGCGGCGTCGCTGCGCCGCCAGCTCTGGCGCAAGCACCTCGGCCTGCTGCCGGACCAGCGCTGGGACGCGCCGACGGCCAACTGGACGCCCGTCGACCGCGACCCGCAGCAGTACGACTGGGGCTCGGCGTCGGACCGGGCGGTGGAGGACCCGCTGAGCGGGGAGTTCGTCCGCCTGTGGACGGAGACGGCGCGCACCAACACCGAGGTGTTCAGCAAGGTGTTCCACCCGGTGCCCAACGACCGCGTGCGCACCTGGGAGCAGTACGAGGACTTCTTCGGCCGCTACTTCGTCATCCCCGGCGGCGAGGAGGAGAAGAAGGACGAGGAGAAGGAGGCCGAGGAGGGGGAGGAGGAGGAGGAGGCGAACAAGGGCAAGGTCGAGTACGGACACGTCGTGCGCGACGAGTTCCCCGGCGGCGTCGCCGAGGTCAAGGACTGGCTGAGCCGCGTGCGCGGCACCCTCGTCGAGATGCCGCTCGACTTCTTGATTGAGGTGGAGGATCTGGCTAAGGAGGGCCTGAGCCTGAATAAGTTCACGGATGAGATCTACACTTAGGCTGTAAGTAAGGAAATCGGTATGCTTCAGGGGAAACCCAGGTATATGGGAGGTGAAGCTCTTGCATTTCGTATCGACAGCCTAGCTCTATTAAATAAATCCGTGTTTCTATTTATCTTACTCAAATCCCTGTGCCGCTGGTCAGGATATGTAGGTATGAAAGGCAAAAATAAAGAAAGGAGTGGGAGGGGATTTACGTTTCCCAAAAGGAAAAAAAGGGGTTGGGCAATTATGATACATATTGCTTGACTTCGTCCAGGCTCGAACTGGAGCTCTCGGTGTGCAAGACCGACGTGCTTGCTATTACAATACAAAGCCCTATTCGTCAGAATACCACTCAGGGAAAGGATGGCAGTTGCTACGTTGTAGAGATGATAGAGTTTGGTGTCCTGTTTGTGATTTCGTTTTTGTCGTACAACTCGTCGCCCACCATGCAGCGCCAAAGCAGCGATAGGTAAAGGTTATATAGAATAAGAAGCTCCTAAAATTTACAGCCGGGGTGGTAGAGTGGTAAAACACGCGGCCATGGTCCTCCATAGTCCTCCTAAAAACCCAATCCTGTCATCGTGAGGCGTCGGGCACCGCACAGATTGTGGCTGCCAGCAACACCTATCCGGGCAGTCGTACAGGGCTTTGAATGGACTCGACTCGAGGAGACGCCAGTTCAAATCTGGCCCCCGGCAATCGCCCAATTTGGGTTGGTTTTTTTTTCTCGAGACGACATTTTGACAATATCTACCTACCTACCTAACTGCAGTTTTAATGAGGCTTGCGAGACTATCCAATTCAGTCCTGAGACAGTCAAGGCCATAGGTACTTATATTCCTTACAGTACTCTTATCTTACTCACCTAGGTATAATCGTGACATAGGGGTTGCATTACCAACATCGTAACTACCAGCGTGTCGCCCGGTAATATACGATTGCGAGTATGCCCAACGCAAGCTTGCTTTTGCTCGGAAAGGCCAATGGACAGTAAGATTCTGAATACGGTAACAAGGGGTAACATCTGGGTGGCACGGAGAGCATTGGTGGTCAAATAGGGGTAACTTTTAGACATCGTATTCATACACTCTATGTAGCATCGAACTTCGTTGATGTGTTGGTTTTGTTGACGAATGTGGGTAGGTAACTTGACCGTTGTTTAACCAGACTTCCTACTTCCTAACTCCAATACGCCAGTTCTGTGTATACTCGGGGAGGGTAGCGAACGGCCTAAGCAGGCGGAAGAAAACAATACGAGACAGGTGACTTTTAAGGTGGTGGTAGTGGTAGCAAGGATATTATTATGACGATGCATTTGTCTCTGCTTCTCGCGATAAAACACAATCAAGAGTCTGGTTTGGCATAACCGTTCTCATTTTCTTCTCTCATCTGTCTTCCCCAACAGCTCTCTTCTCCATCTCCCTCTCCCTCCCTCCCTTCGTATCGTTCCCGTTGTAGTCCCAAAGTTTATTTCGTACCACGCCATGACGAGCTTTCAATCCTCTCTGTGCTGATATAAACATGCCCGTAAACCAAGGGCACACCCGAATTTAGTAGTAGTAGTAGAAAAAATCGACGGTGGACAATTGTGTATGGGAATGAAGACATCATGTGCAAGAGCGCCAAGGACACACGCAAGAGTATTATACAGTAACTCCGGCTGGATGGTTGTAAACTCCAGTTTAACATATGACCTTCCCAATGTCGATGCTACGAGGCTTTCCTTCTCCGCTCGGAGAAATGCCTGAAAGCTTAGTCCTTCTTTCCGTTAGCAGTGGTGCCAAGGAGACCCTCCTTCAGCTCCTTGATGGGGAGGTTGTCTTCTAGGCGGAAGGCCCCGCGGTTCCTCCGGAGGCGCCCTCGGAACCACGAAGCGCAGCCGAGAGCAATTCCTGCTATGCAGCCGAAAGAGAGGTAAGGATGTTCGGAGAAGGTGACGCGTATGTCGAAGAAGATTTTCTCAAAACTCGAGATGGTGAGCTTGGGCTTAATCAGGGGAGGAGAGGCTGTGACCTTGGAGATGGTCTCTAGGATCGATACTCGCGAGGGAACGATGGGGCTGCCAGTAATAGTAATGTCCCAATACCGTCGGTTCTAAAGTAGAGTCAGTGAATATAAACAGTTAAGGATTATGTTATCCAGACTTACATCTTCGTCGTTGATGATAACACGTTCGCCGTCCTTGATGTCGATACCGTAAGTGGTACGAATCCATCTCTGCCAGAACACACCATCAACCCAAGCAAATGCAACTTCTTTGCGATCAGACATGTCCATGCTAATTCGGATGCTTTTGGCGGCTCGCAGAGCCCGCTGGTCATTACGATCCTCGGCTTCCTCAAGGCGGAGTTGTTTCGCGTCGCGAAGGTTCTGCCGCTCAAGCTGGAACAACTGTATTTGCTTGTCCATCCACTCGTTTGCGGCACGCTTCATCTCACGCTTGTTACTCAGGAAGGTTTCCTGGTCTTCCCTGTTAAGAATGCCTAGAACGACAATCTTTCCATCCATGATCTCACGAGCGTTCGAGGCGGTAAGTTCCGGAACGATAGGTAACCAGACAGACTTCATCCAATTCAGGACTAGATGCGTTTCGCGCATTTCTCGCGGTGTCAACGGGTTGTAGTACGTAGGCCTTCCTTCTCGAGATACCAATAGCCTGGGCCACGTGGTAATCTTGTATCTGTCGTACAACTTAGGGTCCTTCGTCTTAACCACCTTAGCGTGTCCGATGAGGCTGAGGGGTAATCTTTCGAGGGCCATGAAGTCTTCGGTCGTAGTCGCATGGTCGTAGAAGTAGACAAAGATAACGTCTTCCTTTTCTTCGAGGGCCTTGAAGGAAGCAGCATCGACATCCTGAATCCCGCTGCAAATATCCATCGCCTTCTCAGCGTATTGGATAAAATCACCAAGACCGCGCAACCCATTGTATTCAACGCGCTCACCTCCCTTAAAGAATAGGACGGTAGGGTAACCTCGAAGATGAACATCCTTGCAGAGCCTGGACTCGGCATCGCAGTTAACTTCACCAATGTTGAGCTTCCCCTTCATCTCTTTAGCCAGCTGCTGCCAATTTGATGCCATGGCCTGACAATGGTGACACCAGGGAGCGTAGAACTTGATAAACCACGGCTCCTGTGTCATGGTGACGAGGTTTTGGAAACTTTCGGCGGTGAGAGAGACGGAAATCCCTTGCTCGTTGGGTGTCTTTAGTGGCTTGGATGGCTTCGCGTTGCCCACTTTGTCTCCGGTAGTCTTGATTGCAGTAGTGGAATCATCCTTGCCATCCTCTTTGGTCTTCTCGGAAGCCTCTCCATCCTTAGGCGCAGTCGGTAAGGTGGTCGCGCCAGGTTCAGGGAGCAGGATTTCTGTAGGTCGGGTGCCAGGCTTCTCCTTCTCCAATGCGGTCTCGATCATGGTCGAGATGGTGGAAATGTTCTTTCCACCCTTGACGACGTCGGCAACCTCGCCATCTTGGTAAAGCGTAGTCTGGGGGTACGACTGGATGTTATGTTTGGTGCACAAATCGCCATAAGCGATACAGTTCAGCTCGGCGAACCGAATATCGTAGAATTTCTCGAAAGATGCGGTTGATGGTGTCGACTCGGCATCGACAGGGGCCTTGGAGGTGTAATAGTACTCGTACAAGGTCTGATAGGTTGGAGCGAAATCTATACAATGAGGACAGTACGGACTGTGATACTGGTAAGCAAAGTGTCGAAGCAGACACGATCTATCTAAGACATTGGAGGACACAATCATGACTTGATATATCATATAAACAACACACAAAAGACCTTACCTAAAATATTTGACAACAAGAAATTTAGATGACTTGACCTCCTTATCGAAATTATCGGCGGTTAACTCGAGTAATGGAGGTACCCTTTTGCCATTAAAATATGTGTTTTCCCGATCAGGGCTGTCATTCGTCTCGGCACCAATTACTTGCGCGGATCCGAGGACTGCGGCGCTGAGGAGCAGCGCAAGAGAGGCTAGCCTCATGGCTGACGGTTTGCGATTTGTTGTCGCAGATGAATAACGAACGTGTTTGATGATCAAATCACCAAATGACAACGTTGACCGGATTGGCACAGGATCACAGGATATCGATAGTAATAAGTGTCAGTCGAATGTTGATTGACGTGACCGGGCGCGCGACTCAGCACGAGAAAGCTGAGAATCGAAAATTACGGGCGTAGGACCTTTTTCCGCTCTGGCTTTTGGAGAAAGGGGCAAGGGAGTGCGAGTGAGTCGCGTCACCGGCTACAGTGCATCGGAATATGTTCAATGGAAGAGAAGGCAAAAGGAAAAAAATGGCAACAGGAAAAAAAGAAGCAGATATTCACGTCTGCAGTATTAAAGAAGCCCCAACTGCGAGCAAAAAAAAAAAGGATTCAAAAGGCTCGAGTTTGCTGATAAGTGTATGTGTCGTCTGTATCACTTCGTACGGCTAGGATAAATAAAATAAAATAAAGCACGTATGTTTTTGTAGTGGTAGGTCAGGAAAATGGATGCGAAAAATGGATTTGATTGTTGAAACAGCACTATCGCCCTATCTCTTCCTAAACCTAAGAGGACAGTGCACCGCCTTCCGTCTTCCTGCTGATGTGCTAGTGCGGGAGACTGTATGGAGTACCACCGATATGGTACTGGTAAGTACCTAATCTTATTTGCACCAACCAGAGAAGGCAGATTACTAGCAAAGCTTAATCTAGACTACATTTGGTACTAGCCCGATTCTCGACACAGTGTGCAGCTCCTACCGTAAGCATCATCCACCGCAGCCCCTTACAGAGGTAGCGAACTTAAAATGGCACCAACTAAGCCACGACAGGAGGAAATGTGGCTAAAACAACCCAACTAACACACATTCCAGGTAATAGTTACGATTCTACCAAATAAACCTTGGGCAACTCATTAAAATCCACGAGGAGAAATTCAAACCAAATCCATCTCAATGTAGGCCTAAACCTCGTAAAATCACCTTCAGTATTACAGGTCCTACAGAGAGACAGGCAAACAGGACGAAAGTTGTCATTAAACCCCGTCCGTCTCGTATATGCTCTCCCATTGATTTATGCACAAAACCGAAATAGTGGGCGTTCGTGGCGATCAGTTGAATGCCAAGCTGCACTATCACGACACCGGCCACGAAGCATCAAACGTAGATCGGTTTGTCCGCGTCAGCCCTGTGGAATCCATTCATATAACCAGAGGTCAACTTCATAGGGGCACCAGCGAGAATATCGGTGGCCACCGAAGTACGGGTTGCGATCTTCAACAAGACAGCCAAGACACCCCCGGTCACATCCCGACTTACACCGGCTTTAGTATACCACTAACCCGGATCTTATTCAAGGTCACCGCTCCTGGTCAAAAACACCCATCTCTTTCAAGTCACATGTTTCAAGAATGGCGGAACCTCCATTGAAGCGCCGCCGCTTGAGTGACGATGATGAAGAGCAAACTACAAACAAGCGCAACGAGACTCCGGTATCACTCTCACATCCCATTAGTCCTCCGAGGAAAAGGAGACCTCGTGAGCGCAAACTCATCCCTTCCCCGATCCAGCTTACTACCATCAGAGACCTTCCGAAGGAGTCAAACATCGGTGCCGTGTCACTTCATGACCTCCTCGGTGACCCACTCATCTCCGAGTGCTGGGAGTTCAATTTCTTGCACGATGTGGATTTCCTCA